GAGCAGCCCTGTGGCCCCACAGCTGGATGGGCACAGGCCTCAAACACCAGGTGGGCAGATGGCAGCAGCATCCAACACAGTGGGCAATTTTTGCTGCATTTATTGAAGTAAAAGACCTTTTGATACATGTAGGAGGTTAGCTCAGGCCATATGTACAGATTGTGGTCTTAATCAGTTCTGCAAAGCAGGGGACTGAAGTCTGCAAATAACTTTGAGATCTTCCTATTAAGCCCAGTTTAGAAAATTTAACATTCCTCCAGCGTACGTGTCTTCAAGTACTAAGCTAGAGATTCTGGTCATTTGCATTCTATAAGTGTGGCTATGTAAGGAGGTTAATTTATATTGGTCTCACTTATCTCTCATATGAGTTTCTCAAAGAGAATTACTACAGGAAGGGAACCTACTTCAAAAAGCGTATCATTTTTGTTAAGCCTGAAGTTGAAATTATCTAAGAGGATCACAATTATTTGAGTAACATTTCATCTGACTTCACCAGCTGCATTTATTGCTCTTATCTGAAATAATTACATTTCACACTGAATACCTAATAGAATATTACCACCAGAAGATTTGTATTTTGTAATATCTGGAAGTGCACGTCACTAGCTAAGCTAAAATGTAGCATGCAGTTTAATTAAGTTGAGCATTGCTTTTCTCCTAGATAACAAATAATATTATCTGTCCTGTTACCTTTTTTTTTAATTGAAAGAAAGCATGCAGTAGATTAGGCTCCAAACCTTGTTGTATTAAAAAAAAAAAAAAAAAAAAAAAAAAAAAAAAAAAAATCAAATGAAAGACATATGGGAGTTCAGTACCCAAATTCCATTGTAGTCCAGGGGAATTGGGTCCCTAATTCTTTTAGGCAACTTTGCTAATTCCACCTTAAGATAGTTAAGAATGTCTTTGAGACCTTAAATATAACAAGGAGGTTCTCTCTTTGCCTTCTTTGCCAGGTTAGACACTTCTATGTATCTCCTCCCTGTTGGCACTGGATTTATGACCCAGATACCTTGTTCTGGGCAGACCCAAACCCTCAGACCGACCACGACTTCTGCATTTCATAATAGGCAAATTTTATTGCTACACAGTGATAGGAGATAAGAATAATGCAGGCAAGGCGAACACAATAATCCCCCTCCCCGATTCTATATCTATCAGTTCTATGGCTGTCACAGAGGGAAGGTACATCTGGACAGCATGTGAGCTTCACCCTGTGATTCTTTCTTGAATTTCAGATGTCAGCAGCTTGGAGGCCAAGGGCTGAGGCCCACCCTTCAGTAGGGTGGGTGAGACGGGTTGGTGGTGTGCCCTCTATCCACGGTGGCCTCTGGTTCCCCCCTCAGGGACCCTTTGCTATTCTAAAATCCCTCCTTTTGTATCCTTTCCCTCCTCTGATGACTCTTCATTCCTGAGCATTGTTGATTGGCCTCTCTCTGGTCATCATACTGTCCATATTCTGCTCTGTCAGCATATTCCTTTTTTCCCAAACCCATCACATGCACACATTTTAACTTGGTCTGTCCACCAAAACTGGAAATCCCAAGGGCTCTGCAGTTGGGCACTGTGACCTGGCCAATGCAGCAGAGTCCCTTATCTCGTGGTATGAAACAGTGTGGTACATATCTTCAGCTTCCCAGCCTCTGTGTCTGCTGGCTTCAGGCATAGCGGGCCTTGAAGGGAACCTTGTGAGGAACAGGATTTTAGAAACCAATTAACCCTTGCTATTCCCTTGGACCATTGTGCTAATGCACTGTCTACTTTACCTACAAACCAGTTCCCAAAAGCAAACCTCCAAATATCATTTTCTAGCCATCATTCCCTGTTGGCAGACAGTGACAGTATTAATAACCTTTTTGTGATGTCATCTCTTGTGTGCAAGAGTCTCTAGCAAGGTGCAGGCATCTCTGTACCTTTGCTAGCTGACACAGAGGACTGAAGAGAGATATGTATGACTCTAGAAGTTCTCCAAGGTTTTATAAACATTAACTAACCTCCAAAAACTACCTACTGAAGTACAGTTAGTCAATAGATAGTGTACAGAAGGATAACTTGTGGCACATGGAGGATCACACTTGACTTGCTGAGAATCACATAGCAAGCCAGTAGCAGAGCCAAACAGAAGCAGGAACCCGTGTTTCCAGGTGCTTGCCCTAGGCTCCAGGTCAGAACAGCCCAGTGCTGTAGATAAGTGAATAGACATTTAAATTTGCTGAAAAGAAACAAAACAAAACAAAAAAACCCCCACCCTAAAGCAATATGGTTTATTTATGTAGGGTCTAAGGCAGTGTCTGGTGACCTAAATAGGACCTTGGGTGCAGGCTGTAGTTAATGCTTTCCCGGTTGGTGTTCAGCAGTATACCATACGTGTGAAGCCTCCAGTTTCCAGTGCCGGAATGGACATTGCATCCCCCAGCGGTGGGTCTGCGATGGTGATGCCGACTGCCAGGACAGCTCTGATGAGGACCCTACCAACTGTGGTAAAAGCTCTCGTCTCACCTTGGCAGGGGTGGTGGGAGGGACTATTGTTATCACTATCCTATCCATCATTTTAGTAAATGGCAGCCAGCTCTGTGACTCTGAAACAAGTTAAACAAAAGAACAGCCAGCCTGAGGAGACCCCAGAAAACCATCTCTCTTGCCATAAGTGTTGGTTTTATTGTAGTACTAAAGAGTCCACAGCCAAGATCAGGGCCTCATTCCTGCCTTAGTGGGCCTATAGACTGAGACACAGTCTACACTGCACAGTTTTGTGATCTAGCTGGGTTGGGCACGAGTATGAAAAGTCCCATGCTCACAGAACTGGCAGTGAATCCCTTTCTGCACGCAGCTATGCCAGAAAGAGAGCTCCTGCCTGCAGAGATGCTGTCCTTCGGAGAGGCAGAAAATCACCCCCTGTTGTCATATGCTGATTTGTTGGCAGAGCTCCATAACATAGACAAGCCCTACACACAGAAGAGCGATGAGAGCTGCAACTAATTCTGGGGGACACGAGGAGCGTAGGGTGCTCCTAAGATTCAGTCATTGCAGCTTTGTTTTAAGGAGGAAACTGAGTTCCTGTTTTGTCCAAAGCATCTCTCTGGGGGCTGAATTTCTTCCATAATCAAGATGGCTTTTTAAAATTCTGTTTTCAGAGAAAAAATGCAATGGGTTCCAGTGTCCGAATGGGACCTGCATCCCAACCAGCAAGCACTGCGATGGGATGCACGACTGCTCTGATGGCTCTGATGAGCAGCACTGCGGTAAGCATGCAGCGGGAGCCCAGGTTTGATGGGCCGGGGCCCAACCTGTGGGTCAGTTAAGTACAGATGACTGCTTGAAAGGAAAGCAAAGATGTAATGTAGGGGGGGACAGGTGGCTGATTCCTCAAAGGCTGTGACAAAGTGCCTACACCCTGCTGCAAAGGACATAAGCCTGGGTAGATACATAGGTAGTAATGGTTCATAAGAGTTATCCAGCCCTTTGTGAGATCCACCTGCTGTATTTGACTCTGTAAATCAAAAGAGATAGTGAAATGCATAGGGGTCAAACAACCACAGACCTTTCAGAATAGCACAAGGTTTCTTACCACAAAGTACTGAATTTTTATCTCTCTCTCACCCCACCAACCCTCTCTGTTTCTTCCAGAGCCCCTTTGTACACGTTACATGGACTTTGTGTGTAAGAACCGGCAGCAGTGCTTGTTCCACTCCATGGTGTGTGATGGCATTGTCCAGTGTCGGGATGGCTCAGATGAAGATGCCGACTATGCTGGATGCTGTAAGTATGGCAGAAATCACAGCGCCTTGCTCTTACCTTACACCTAGTGCCTTTCATCCTGGGGTGCAGAGCACTCTACAAAGGCGACGAGCATGTTGCAGACAGGGAAACTGAGGCATAGAAGCCAGCTGCAGGGCTATGACTAGAGCCCTCATTTCTTGTGCCCCAGTCCACTGCTTTGACTACTACGCTGCAATGTCCAGAACAGAGTAAAGTAGGATTCTTGTCGAAGAGGAAAGAGGGGTTTGAACAGGTCAGCTCTGTGCTGTTAATGAATTAGCAGAGCTACTTGAGCGCTCAGAAATCCCAGTCCTGTCCTGGGGGCTGATGAACGTATCGATGCTGTGTTGGTATTGACGGTCTGGGTTTGTGTTGCTCACTGTTTTCAGCTTCCAAAACTCAAGGGATGATTTTAGGTTCGTGGGATACAGGAGACCAAGTACAGCAACTGAGCTGTTTCATCAGCTGACCTTTTGGCCTTTGGTCCTCTGTTCTGGCTTGGTTAGAGCCTGGGATGGGGCTAGTAACTTCATCAGAAATATTGCAGGCAAGCCAGTGCAGTGCCCCAGAGACCAAGGGGAGTGCACAGCTGGGGTGAACAAAGGGGCTGCCAAGCAGCACTTCATCTAATCCTGTCTCTGGCAGTGGCTAGTGCCAGGTGGCGCAAGGCATCCTGTGATGAGGAAGATTATTCTAAGTCCAGGCAGTCAGTCCATGCTTGTTTTATGCCCCAAAATATATTCCTTACGCATCAGCATGTTCTTGAAAGGAAGGAGCGTAGGCTTCCTGTGCAGCGGCATCATCCGGGGCTAGTGCTGGAGAGTGCCCTGTCCCCTTTAGAGTGCAGGCACCAGTGTCCCTGTGAGGTGAGGCCTTACAAGCCAGGAGCAAGCAGCAAGACTACCACTGAAGCCAGCAGCAGTGAGGCTGACCTCCCCTCCTTGACATGACTAGTCACATTCAGAGTCCTGCATCTTTAACTCAGGTGCTGATGAAAAAAGTTGGATTTTGCATGCTTCCCTTTTAATGGCTTGTTCTGCATTGCCCCGCTTAGCGCAAGACCCGGAGTTTCACCGGACCTGCGACCAGTTCAGCTTCCAGTGCCAGAACGGCGTGTGCATTAGCTTGGTGTGGAAGTGTGATGGGATGGACGACTGTGGGGATTACTCTGATGAAGCGAACTGCGGTGAGTAGAGACTCAGTAACCATCTCAGAAGGCACAGAAAGAGAAGTGGCTTGCCCTAGTTGCCAATCCTGCATTCCCTTGACTAGACCATGCTGCTGCCGCCCACCATTAATCCAGCGAGGTCTTCATAATCTGGAATCGAGGATGTTCATCCTCCTTTGGTTGACTTAAAGCTACGTGTAAGCCTGCTCATTGCAGATTTTTAGTCCAGGACAACTAGGTATCCTGTATTTGAACTCCAAGTTTAATCACTGTTACCTGGAGGCACAGCCGGGCAAGACAACCACCTGTTCATATTGTACCTGCCACATTCATCCTTCTGTTTCAGTGGCTCAGCTTTTACCTTCTTGTGCTACAACTGGTTTTCAGTAGGAAGCTCTTTGGACCAGAGACGTGTCTGTTGTCTGGCTATACACAGCTAGCACACCTTGACTGCAGCATAAACACCAGTGACAAAACCACAGTAGGAACTTTTAAGGGAAGGGATTAATTTATCAGGGGGAAAAAAAGCCCTCACTGCTTAGGAAGGCTTGGGGGACACTATCCAGCAGGGCTCAGTCACAGGTTAGGCCAAGCCCAGATCTCCACCATGCTGAGAGCACTTGGAAATGATAGACCTCACATTTCTATTCTATTGTTAGAAAATCCAACAGAAGCCCCAAACTGCTCTCGATACTACCAGTTCCAGTGTGCAAATGGGCACTGCATCCCTAACAGGTGGAAATGCGATGAGGAGAATGACTGTGGAGACTGGTCGGATGAGAAGGACTGCGGGGGTAAGAGCAAACATAGCTTCTTCCCTTCGCTCTGCTGTTCATTTGCTCTTGGTTAAAGCAGCTGGTCCCTGCCAGCGAGGACTCTGCTGAGTTCATACCATGGCTCTGGGTACCCAGAACGTGCATTGCAAATTAAAAAGCCAACAATAAAAAGTAAGGGACCTCAGCTAAATCATGTCTACACTACACATGTCCAAACAAGTGCTCTGGATGCTTCCTGTTCAGCAGAGCCTCTTTTGGGGCTGGTCTCTGGTGCCTAACTTCATTAAACCTGTTTAGAAACCACTTAAATTAAACGGATTCAGCTTCCTTGGTGTGGGCACTTTTAGGCCAGTTTAGGGATTTGTCTGTACAGGGACAAAGTAATGACCTGTAAGAGAGGGGGTGAATTTACAGTGCAGTAACTCCTCCCATGGACTCTTTTGCTATCATCTGAGAACGACTTTGTGTAAGGGAGCTCTCTCCATTTACTGCCGTAGCATCACAAAATAGTTTTCTGACTGGGTTTAGAGAAAGCTGTATGCCTTTGGTGCAAGCTAGTGAGCTTAGGGCTTGGGCTCTGTGGAACAGAAAGCAATTGCCCTGCCCTGTGCGGCCTGCTGTCCTCAGCGTCTTCCCCCTTGCCTCTGTCCGCTGCTTTGTACGTGGAGCAATCTGCCCTGCCCTGAGACTGTGCTGCATGCATCTAAGCAGGGCCTGATGTGGAGTGGCTGGGGTGCTGGAAATGTATACCCTGGCTGACTGCAAACAGCCCTCCCTGTGTATTGTAGCCCTGCGTGCGTGCCCTCGGAGGCTACGTGCCATTTAGCGAGTGGTTTTTAAATGGGCATGCACAAAGGAAGCCATTTAGATCTTGTGCTTTGATGTGAGCTGTTGGGCTCGGGGCACAGTGTGAATTAAACAGCAAGCAATTCCCCTGCCTCATGTGGGCTGCAGTCCCTAGAGGCTTTCCCTGTTCCTCTTTCAGCTGGGAGGAGGAGGAGGCTCTACTGAGTCGTGTGACTCAGGTAAGGTAGGTCCAGTTTGATGTGGCCACACAAGACAAGGACCAGGGCTAATCTGGCTACTTAGCCCCAAATCCTGCAGTTGGATTTGCTTAGCCAGACCTGTGTGCCAGTAAGGGGTCACCTTGATTTCAGCAGGAACCACAGATCTCCTCCCAGACAGATCTAATGTGCAGGACCATGGCCTTAAAATGTGAAGAGGGCTTGTATGCTTGACCCAGAGGCATACCTTGCTCATAGTGCTAGGGTCCAAAAAGGGACTTGTCTCTATGCCGTGATGGAGAAGATGCATAGGAGCAAGTCCAGTGAAATATCTAGATAGGACTCAGGGAAGCAGCTGAATTTCATGCTGTCTGCTAGGCCAAGGATGCAAAACTCTCAGCAGGCACTGCTGCCTGGCGCCTTGATCTGTCTGAAGTGTCACAAGCTTCAGTCCAAATTTGAATAGGTTTGTACTATCATGTGGGTTGCTGTCTTCTGCCTCCTGCTTCCCTGCATGTTTCAGCCTGGCTCTGCAGGTCACCATCCTGCAGTTTGGAAGCAAGCAGTTGATTTGCACTGCCCCGTTTTCCCTCTTTCTATCAAACCTCGGGGACTTTCCCGATCAGTCTTTGAGGAACAGGAAAGGCCCTTTCAGCACAGTCAGGTGCAAGGATGTGGCCAGTAAGGCTGGCTTTCACGGGCTTATTTTTAGGTTCGCAGATACTGCCCTTTACCACGGCGGCCCCAACGACGTGTTCACCTAATCACTTCCGGTGTAACAGTGGGGCCTGCATCATGAACAGCTGGGTGTGTGACGGATACAGGGACTGCCCAGATGGCTCTGATGAAGAAGCCTGTCCCACTTCATGTAAGGCTTTCTCCTCCTTTACCCCCTCTTTTTTCAATAAATGCTGTTGCAGGGAGCAGATACCATTAAATGTGATATTGGGCTGCTGTAAAAGGGAACAGCTCTCATGGCTCACACAGAACACATCCATTTCTACATAATTTGCTGCTGCCCCTGCCTTGCAGGAATTAGTGGGAAAATCACCCCTCAGTCCCAGTCCCAGGTAGACTGTCACACCCCTCCACTGCGGTCCATGGTGTGACAGTGGCTTACATAGACATACCCAAGGTAGACTGAGACAGGTTCATTCAAGGACCAGCAGCAGCATAGATGGCAGCCCCCAGCTGCCTGAATATTTACGCAGGGTACCAGTTGGGTCTTGCAGCCCTGGCTGCATATGGTGCTGCTCCAGCTACACGGTTAATTGGTCCCCAAGGCTGCAAGCTTAAAGCTAACTCGGGGATCTCCGTGAGCTGGCGCTGTGCCTTCAGAGGCAGCGCAGGCGCATCCTTCCCAGCTGTACAGCTTAGCCCCATTGGAGACCGGCAGGGCTGGTTTCCCCATTTCTAGTTTGGGTTTACAGTAGCAAGTCGGTTGATTTTACCATCCTCCTGAAAGAGGGGAGATGGATAAGCGGGATCTGGTTATTCCCAGCTGCTGGAGAGTTTGATGCTTCTTAAGCAGGAAGAGGCTGCCATCTAGCGGAGAGGGGGATCTGAACTTATTCGGTCCCGGAGAACCGAGCTGGCAGCCAGTGCTATCGCCCAGGGAAGAGCTCTGCTCCGGCTTGTGCAGTTTAACCACTCTTCTGTTCCTCCTGGTACCCAGTAATCAATGTCACTGCGACCTCCAGCACCTTCCTGGGCCGGTGCAGCCGATTCGAGTTTGAGTGCCAGCAGCTGAGGAAATGCATCCCAAACTGGAAGCGATGCAATGGTGTGGGAGACTGCCAGGATGGCACGGACGAGATGAATTGTCGTAAGTGCTTGTTCCCCGCGTGCTGGGGGGGGGGCGCGCCCTGGGCTTTCCCTTCAGCCGGGCTTTCTTTAACGGGAAGAGCCTCATAAAATGTCTCAGGCCCCTGGGAGCCCTGCTGGGGCTGTGTCTGGAATATGAAGCGTAATGTGCCAAGTGTGCTACTAGAGAAAGAAAGTAATAATATAACTAGCGTCTGGATTGGGGCCATACTGGCTAGGTGGTAATAGACATATAGAGCCCCATTCCAGGTGCCAAGACGATGATTGGTTTTCCCAAATTGGAAAATTCAACCCACTCTCTGCACCCGTAGAGCTGAATATTAAAATGCCTAATGTTTGCATTGAAAAAATAAATAAATAAAGCAAAGCCAATATTGTTCCTTAGCACTGAGGAGTGCTGATCAGGAACCAGGACCTCATGCTTTCAGGTGCTGCACCACCAGGGAACAGAAAGCGAAACCCTGCCTCAAATAACTGTCATCACCTCTCATTTGCTTTTTTTAAAGCATCCTTGTGTGTGTTCTTAATCTCCAAACGTAACATTGAGCCTTTCTGAACCAGCTTGATTCCCAGCATCATCAGCGATAACAGTCTCATACCGATATACTGCAGCAGCTTTCATCTCAAATGATCTCAGTGGGCTGTAGTGATGGAGTAGTCATGAATGATAATGGCAAAGTCTATTCAGGGACCCATTAATGTAATGCAGTCACCTCTGCATTTGAACATGGTTGCTGGTTAGCAGCACCAGAGAACACATTCAAGGAAGAAAGAAACTCTCTTTGAGTCATGCAGTGTTTTTGCTTCCTTCAGCTACACCCAGTACATTGTCATGCCCTGATGGCTATCGATGTGAAGATGGGGAGGCCTGCCTCATGACTACAGAACAGTGTGATGGATTTCTCGACTGCCCGGATAGCAGTGACGAGAAAAACTGCACTGGTAGGTGGCTCCGTCACAGGGCTTCTTACGTTGGTCGTAGCTTGGGCTGCGTTGTAATACAGAGACTGTCTCATGGGTTCTTGTCCTTCCATTCACAACGAACCAAAGTCCGTCCTTCTTGAGTCACGAGTGTACAGACCATCTCCCTTCCTGTTTCAGAGAACATCTACTGCTATAGCAATTGCACACCTACAAAAGTAATACTGAGGCAGTCAGGAGGGAAGTCACCTGATTTACATGGGTAATGGGCAGGTGCAGTTTTGCAAGCTGCATCCTCCTCTGCAAGCATGACCCTGAGACTATTGGCCCTGACCTGAGCTCCATGCTCCCCACTTGCTCATTCCTCCCATGCCCTCCTTCGTTAGCCCTGCAGAGTCAGACACGCCACACTTTGATTGGCGAGGAACCCAGCCCCGGTCCGTTCTGGGTAGATAACAGTAACGATCAATCACCGTCTCCTCCCAGCCGTGAGATTCAGCCATTTTAAAATTTGAACCGCTTGGGGTATTGAGCATCAATCAGTTTTTAGTTCTTTAATTAAATATTGATTCTGAGAAGCAGCCCAGACTCCGGGGGGGGGGGGCATGGTGCTGCCGGGACCCGAGCTAGGCTGAATGCCTAAGAGAAGCCACAGCTTTCTCCTCCCAGCCAGCACTGCCTCTGGGAGTTTCAGCGCTTCCCCTTTGGACCGGCAGGCTCATTTGGTTTAATTTTCAGCTGATTAGGAAATTTAAGCAGGACCAGCTCAGTGCCTTCTGTTTGGTTTTCTTAATAAATGGAGAAATGAAGCCAGTTGGCTAAGCAGAGCCTGGGGAGCGCTGCTCGTGTCCACAGCTCCAGGCTCAGACTGGAGGAGGGGAGAGGTCTGTCAGCAAAGCAGTGATCCGGAGTTGAAGGAAGACAGTGCATGGAGGGGTGTAGATGGAGCAGGACAAACTACATGTGAAGAGACAGAGGAGAACCAGCTGGCCAGCAGAGATAGGGGAGGGTGTATTAGCACACACTGGTCCGACGAGTAGGGGCAGGGAGATCTACTAACTACTGGGTAGGTATACTGATAACTGCGCTCCTTCAGGACCTTTCAGCCAAGCATCTCAACATGCTTCACAGTTGATGGAGCCTCGTTTAGATGTCAAAAGGGAAGCACAGGGGGGCGGAGGGGGAATGGCTTGCTCTGGATCACTTGGCAAGATTAGAAACCTTATCTTCCAATTCCAGGCACCCTGGTGCAACGAACAGACCGGATTGCCCTTCTGCGCAGCAGGGTAAAGTCGGGATGAGCAGACATCCCAGTCACTCCAGATCAGACAGTCGGCATTAGAAGCCAGATCGCCACAATCTCTCTGTTCCAGTCCTTCCAGGACTATTTTTCCTCTACCTGCCCACTCTGAACTAGGCAATATGGAGGAAAAAAACATGCAAAAGAGGACCTTGACAGTTGACAGTTTGGGTGTAGATTCATAAGTAAGCATCTTCCACAAGCAAAATAGTGACTCCTTTAGGTCAGGCTGCAGAGAGGGGCCACTTGGAAACCAGAGATACTCTTCTAATGTCATTTTAAATGGGGCATTATCCAGGAGCTCTGATTAAGCGTATGCTTCAAAGCATCTCGTGCGCTGACTGCTCTTTGTGAAGCACTGTATTGGTTTCCCTCCAGTAAAATAACGCTCCTTGTTGTCTGCTTAGATGACACAATTGTGTACAAAGTCCAGAATCTCCAGTGGACTGCTGATTTCTCTGGTGATGTGACTTTAACCTGGGCTCGACCTAAAAAAATGCCCTCCGCATCCTGTCTCTATAACGTCTATTATAGGTAAGGCGCACAAGTTATTTCTGCCAAACACAACTTTACTGTCAGTGTGGGTTTTTGTGTGTCGTGTCAAAGTTAGGAGAAGCCTTAGGCTTTTTATGGGATCAGGGCCCTAAGGGGATTCATTTCAACCTAAAAAATCTAGTTTCTGCATGAAAACCCAGCCCCCAGATGACTATAAGTGGAGGAGATTGATAGTAAACTGTTTTGCTGTTATTTTTTTTCAGCATGCATTTGACAGCACTTTTGCATACAGGTGGTTTTACTGGTTTTTTCCCTATGTAATCAGCTTCTTTTTCTGATTGATTTCTTTGTGTGGGAAACAATCCTTTGGGTCTTTCTTTGTGTGGGAAACAATTAGAAGGAGAGAAAAAGAGTCAAGTTAGGGGAGAGCAGCTGGAATAAAAATTGATTTAAGTGGCTGTTGTAAATCCGTCAGCTATGTGTAACTTGCTTAACTTTCAAGTTGATGGTGTCCCTTTAACAACGAAGAAGAAAAGCAAGCAGTCTCTAAAAGCGTAGTCTGATGATTCGCACTCCTGAGACAAGTTAAAACCTCTTGTTACCAAACTGCTTCCAGACTAAGTGGTTTTAATCTCCTACACAGGATGGTTGGTGAAAGTATTTGGAAAATTTTAGAAACTCACAGCAACAAAACAAACAGCATCTTAAAAGTCCTCAAGCCGGATTGCACGTACCAGGTGAAAGTTCAGGTCCACTGTCTCACCAAAATCTACAACACTAATGACTTCATTACTCTGCGCACACCAGAAGGATGTAAGCAGCCTTACTTGTTCACCTTGGACTCCCTAGGTTTGCAGATTGTTAATCAAGTAACCCCAGCACGTGATTCTTAAAGGATAACAGTGGAAGTCAGCCCTTTTGGCAAGCATCCCACAAAGTAGCCCCAGGCCCTTCTCAAGTGCCTCTCTGATCCCCGTTCCCTGTCTGATCTGCTGCTTTGCTTCCTGCTTCCTTCCCAGTGCTCCCTGCCCAATTTACTGCTTTGCTCTCTGCTCCCTGCCCTGTCTGCCACTGCGCTGCCTGTCCCCTCCCTGATCGGCTGCGTGCCGCACAGGCTGCCTGTGTTGGCCCCTGTAGCACCTGTGCTGCAGCTTGGCCACCCCCCAGTTTAAAAGATGGAGGTGCATTTTCTGAATAGCAGCCCATGACCTTTTGCGGTAGACCTAAGGGATGCAGCATCAGTGGGAGTTAATTTGGATAGCTCTTTTGAGCCAAGGATCTGTCCCCTCATCCGCGGTTGTGCCTCTAACCAAAAAGTAATAGGGGTCACTGGGAAATTCGCCATTTGTACTACTCTTCGGAGGTTGCGGGCTTGTTGGAGCCATGTGTAGGGAATCCAGTATTTGAAATTTTGCTGAGGGTGGAGGCCTGGGCTGGGGAGATGGGGCAAAATAAATGATGTTGGTTTCTTTACAGTCAGGAGGAAAACTTTCATTGAAGTCAAAATGTCTCTTGTTGGGTGCAATATTTCTAAGGGAGGGATAGGACACAGGACACATCCAGGCCCTGTTCATTTCCCCTAGTAGGGGAACTTACTCATAGCCAAGGTCTTGCTTATGGCTCTGCCATTATGGTCCTGACATGCTGACTCCTGTGGCCTGTGCATCCCTAACCTATTTGTTTCTTTGCCAGTACCCGATGCCCCTTTCAATCTTCAGCTCTCCCTAAACAAAGAGGTCGAAGGCACAGTGAGCAGCCACTGGACTCCACCTGTGAATGCCCATGGCCTGATACGAGAATACATTGTGAGTATTGTTCAACACCTTGTCCTTGACCCACGTGTTGAGTGGGAGCTGTGCAGGCAGATTAAAGGAAAGGGTTCCTCTCTCAGGGAGAAGTAATGTGACAGTGCCTGGCACTGGGAGTTAATGATATCACCTCTGTACCATACAATCACTGAAATACCCATTCAGATTTAGGGATGCCGTAAGCCTTTGCTTCTGAGAGTGATGAGAAGACAGGAAGGTTTCTGTTTCGCTCCTTAGACACATGACAAAAATAAATTTCAGAAAAAGACACCTGATTCACAAAACTGAGTCGCTTTAACCTGGCCCACTCTCCTGTTATAGGCTGTGATAAACCCAAATTGTAAATCTTGCTGGATTCTTGACAGTCCTCTACACTTGCCAGGGCTGGTTGGGTGAAACTTGTATGATTTCTTCAGCGCGCTGATTCTCAACCAGGGTGTCTTGAGATCCTTTCAGGGGTGCCTCAGGGTCCCATGCAGTGTTAATAGTCTCTAGTGAGCATACAAGGTTCACCAGATAAACCCCAAGATTTCAAATAAAAATTGATAGTGTTAAAAACCTTCTGCCCTGCTGGGGTCTTTCTGAGTTCTTTGCAGCAGAAGAATAGCTCTTTTCTTTTCCCATAGTCAAGAAATGAGTGAAAGCTAAGAGCTGGCATTTTCCAAGGGGGGCCTTGAATCTAATGAGGGAAGCCTTGGCTCTAGAAGGTAGAGCACCGCTGCTTTAGTAATTTGTGTCAAAGTTTCACTTGCTTTACTTAACCAATGATATCATCCATTAAGGGATTATCAGGAAGGGCCAGATCTTACCCTGTGATCCACAGGGTGTGTGTAGCAGAGGACCTTTCAGACACTTGTGTGTGGCCTACGCATTTGTCCGTAGGCAAGGTGCAGATGCATACTAGAAGGGTATTTTACCATGTCTCTCAATTTAGACCAGCTGTGTTGGGGGAAGTTGTGTGGTTCCAGTTAGAAATGGGCTGCCTAAGCCTAACTTTTCAGACCCCTTCAGTTGTGACCCTTCTCTCAGTTGTGATGGCCTGTACTACCCTATCGCAGGAATGTCCGTCCAGCACACAGCCCAATTACATTGCTCATTATGAAGCTCTGATCTCTTCTTTTCACATTATTAGGTGGAATACAGCAGAAGTGGCTCCAAGGAGTGGTCTTCACTTCGAGCCAGTAGGAACTATACTGAGATCAAGGACCTGCAGCTCAACGCACTGTATACCTTTAGAGTGAGTATTTTTCAAAGCCTTACCCTGATAAAGTCTTAAGAAGTTTTCTTTAACGGGTGATCTGAGAACCGCATAGTTACCTGACTAACAACGTGCCAGCTCAACCTGGCATGAGTCTAAGACCAGCACAATTACTGACTCTGCCAGTGTCAATGGAAGGAGTCAAGCCTGTATTTTTTAAAAGTCATCACTAATGGCCTAATTCTGAAGTCACTGTGATTGGGCAAGGTCTGGGTCAGCTACAAATGTAGTCCTAATTGTGTCACTGGGGAAAGAAACGGGGCGGATGTGCGAAGGGAAGTCATTGGATGGGGTATAATGTTAAAGGCTAAATTAATGGGATGGGGATTTGCATGAGAAAACACTGGGGAAGGTGCGGTCCTGACCTGCCGATTTTCCACATTGCTTAGCTCAATCACTGATATCAGTAGGGATTCAGTGTTAAAGCGGATGTCACAATACAGCCTCCGTGAATCCATACTACTTTTACGCTGGTTTGTACAATCCCTTTCGGGTAGAAAAGCGAGTGTGCATTCTGATGTATGCACTTGCCTTTCTTTATGCAAGACGGTTTCCAAATTCATTGCACCAATGGACTTCATGGCAATTGTGGTTCTTTATATCAGGGCAGAATTATTCAGAAACCCCTTCACTTGAGAAGCTTTTTTATAAAGACCTTGTCCTCAGGGTAATCTAAGGAGGTGCAGGTGATACATCTGCACCTCCTTAGATCACCCGAATTAACTCCAAGTAGCTGTGCTTTATCTTTGCTCACAACCCTTTTATTACCGAGTAATTAAGCCACTTTGTCAAAATTTTACAATGAAAATGGAGTACGAGTTTTCGAGCAGAGTTATTGAGAGGGTGGAACTGAAGAGAAATGGACTTGGAAGCAAAACAGTGTGCATTTGTTCATATTAACTAACCCTCTAATTTGCAAAAAGGTTGCTGCGGTAACTAGTCGGGGAGTAGGAAACTGGAGTGATTCCAAATCCATAACCACGACAAAAGGCAAAGGTAAACCATTTTTATGTGTTTCAGTTTGAATGAGCGTGGGCAACATAGAAAAAAGAACCAAGTAAACAAGCATGAATAATCATCTGATTTTCTCCCCCCCCCCCCCCCCCTGGGGGTTTTTATTTTTTTTTTTTTTTTTTTTTTTTTTTTTTTTTTTTTTTTTTTTCCCCCCCCCCCCCCGTTAGGATTTTTAACATTTGTATTGGCTCTGCTGTGCCATTTATAAATGCAGGACAGGTGCTGTACAACTTACAAGTTAAAAAAAAAAGAGACTGTCAAATTGAAAATCTAACTGTAGAAATCCAAATCCTATTGTTGTGCTACTATTATCACCTTCCATTTCTCAGCCTGGAAGAACTTTGAAAATCTAATTTATTTTTCACTGCCCTGGCTTCTGTTAGCTTTGTATTTCATGTAGTCGGGACTGCGAAAAACGTCTAATCAGTTTTACTAAGGTTCCAGTGCAGTCACCTGATACCACAACGGTTAGATTACAGATACCAGAGTCATGTTTAAATGCAACCAAAAAACCCCCCAAAAACAGTTTGCCCTGAAATTTTTTTAAATAAAACCTTGGAATCATTTTTATTATGAGTTTCTATATAAATCGGGATTTCTTTTTCAAAAAAAACTTACACGTCAATCCTAAATGTGCTGACGGTGTCCCTTTCAGTGATTGGCATTGATTTTTGGCTTTAAATCCACTTTCAGCAACACAAGAAAAACGGGGGAAAAAGAGCAGGCTACTGAAAATGTGTAACAACTCTGATAATATGAAGAGCGACCGGTAGCTAATCATTGGAAGGGGTTGGAAGGCAGAGGGAGGAAAAAATTGAAACTTTTTTGCAGGATTTTCCAATAAATTCTGCTCTGACCCACTCTCAACTCAGCATCCTCTCTTCACCTTTTATTCTAAAGTATTAGTCCCACCCTAAAGTATTGACTGTAAAAGAGCACTCATCTCAGTGATTTCAGAGATTGAAGTCAATATTGTGGTCTACGGCGCAGGTTTCTTTCTATGTGGAAGAAATCCTTGGTAGAAGACCTTCAGGATAACAACTATAACAATCTGCTTTTTTTAGTGCCATAGAAATGCAATTGTCTTTTAGGGTTTTGACCTTGAATTAACATCTGTTTATTCTCTTCAGTTATTCCACCACCTACCATCCATATTGAGAGTTACAGTGAAGACTCTATTAGTTTCACCCTGAAAATGGACACGAAAACTAAGGTAAGGTGTTAACCTTGTGGCTAGAACCAGAGTTAGATCTGACTGATAAATTGTTGGCATAACAGACATTTATTGCACGACGAAGTATGCCACTCAGTGGTGTTTAGCCACACGAGAATCCCAGCTTTGACATAAGCAAATCACCCATTTAGAAAGTAAGAATACAGTCATCAGGGGGTTGGGTTTTTTTAAGAAAGGTTTAATAGTCAATAACTAATTACCCTAGCTCTGTCTGGTATTTACCATGTAATGAAAGGGTTCAGAGACCCCAGGGCAAACACAGAGGGCTGGTAGCACAGTGCATGCCCTGTAATTTTCATATTGATAAATGCCTTGACACTAGGAGCTAATGTGGAAGCAGGGTTGCCGGTCTGATACTGGTTTCTTCTTCAGAATCTCCGACAGGGTCTGGGAAAAAGCAGGGTTCAGTTTTCATACAGGTCCTAACCAGCACGTGTGCCGTAGAGGTTTGTTACGTATCTCTGGATCCTAAAAGGCAACAAGCCAGCAAAGCAAGAACTAACAAAAGATAGCGTCCCCCCTGTCCTCAGCATTAAAATATTCAGACTTTTTTCAAAAGTAGGGTTTCCAGACATCTCCTTATTACAAGTCCTGTACGGGTACAGGTGTTTAAGCTCTAGGGGTGCAGAGGCATGGAGATGGTGAGCAGAAAGAGCAGATAGGTTGGACATAAGGATCATTGAGTCCAGCCCCCAAACGTGCAAGGTGCTTGCACCAGAGTAGGTGCAAGCACCTACGCTGGAGACTTTCCAGAAACACTTGGATGCCTATCTTGCTGGGATCCTTTGACCCCTGCTGCCTTCCTGCCCTTTGGGCAGGGGGCTGGACCCGATGATCTCGTGAGGTCCCTTCCAGCCCCTAACAGCTATGAAATTTATGACATAGACTGCCCCAGTTCCTCCACTTGTGATGGGAGATCCAGTATGAAGGTGTACTGTGTATGGATCCAGTATGAAGGTGTACCATCCATCTTGTACTGTGTGAGGAGACAGCTGAACAGAGAACTCATGCATCCTATGTGCTTTTGCTGCTTGGTAGGTGACTGGTTATGTTGTGAACATCTTCTGGACATTTGATACCCACAGGCAGGAAAAAAGGACTTTGTTCATAGAGGGAGAAAAGTCAGCGCAAAAAGGTAAAACTTTCAGCTGTAAAACTCTTGTTCTGAAGACATCCTGATGGGGAGATGGTCATTGGTATAGATTGGCATTTCAGTAGTTCTTAATCTAGGTAGGGTACTCATGCAAGTAGGGTTCATTGTGTGGGCAGGTCATTGCAGGACTGGACTGCAGATTCATGTTCCCTGTGAAAACCCTAGATAAACAGTGATTATTCCCCTGGCCATAAAGACTTCAGTGTCATGGCTGCATTGGGAAAAATAGTCCTTTCCTTCTCACACAGGGCTTTGGCCGCTGGAGTGTTGTTGTCAGGAGCCCCCATGCCCAACATTGCTCAGGGGACACACTGCCTTACCACGGGAGGAAGATACATCTACAGATATGCCAAAATCTGCCCAGACTCTGTAGCTGGCCTCCATTTAGCCTTACCCCCATGTACAGCAGAGTCACTCCATGGACTCTGGGTGGAGCAGACTATATCCTAAAAAGGAAACGAAGAAACAGGTGCTATGTAAAATACAGGATAAAGGACTAGATGTTCAACCATTAGTATCTGTTAGTGTGATTGCCAGTTATAAGCAAAGCAGGTGCAGTGCTGCCCTCCCTGCGTATTTGCAGACACAATTTAGGTAAGATAGATGCCTGGCACCCTAGCGTGCCTGGCTTGAGTGGAACATTTTGCCTTGAAGTGGTATTTATGGCACTTCATCCTCTCTGAGCAGCCTTGCAGTGGATAGTCTGCACCTTAGAAATTCAACACCTATTCAGCAACAAGTCAAGCATGACTTGGGCTAAAATCCAACATGGCCGCATTAATCTGATCGATTATTAATTCTGTCCTCTCTTAGCTAGGAGAAATCATTGTTATTTCCAAGTCAAGATTGAGGAAGGCGTCAAAATAAAGCAGCAGATTCATAATATGTCCCCCAGGTGAATCGTTTTTAAAAAACCCCACCAAATTAATGAGAAGACAAGCCAGATAAGTGCGTGTCTGTGTCACGGAAGTAACCGTCTACCAGAACAATTTGCTGTTGCCCCGTGGTTTCAATAATTCACCTAATCAAGTGGCTCAAATCTTTCTTTTTGTTCAGTGGCTAATTTGACAGCTCACACACCGTATGAAATTTCTGCTTGGGCCAAGACCGAACTGGGTGACAGTCCTTTGTCTTTTGCACATGTTGTGACCAGCGGTACGAGACCCGCACCTCCAAGCCTCAAAGCCAGAGCCATCAATCAGACGGCGGTGGAATGTAACTGGACAGGACCAAAGAACGTGGTGAGGCCCTGTTCATTCCTCTCTCTCGTGTGACCCATGCTTCGTCTCAGATGTACCCCTGGAACCTCAGGCCAGAAAATATTAGGACAAAGTTTTTGACTGCAGTTGCATTTCCATCAAGTGCTAGGAAAATAAGAGTGACCTTGGAATTTTTTGCAGTTATTGGCATGGGCCCTACAAAAGAAGGATGCATATCAAACCATGCAGCCACTTGTTGCTAGGTTTACTCCCCTCTAGGCCCATACACCGCAAAGAAAATCCCATATTGTGTGACACACGGTCATGACAGTCTCAGCTGAGGGGTCCTGAGAGACCGGGCAGTTTTTAGCTCTTCTGTCCTTGACAATAATGTATGACCCAGGATTTAATCATAACGTGCGTGTCACATGGTAGGTAAGATGTCATATGGCTGTTCTTCTCTTCCACAGGTATATGGTGTTTTCTATGCTACATCTTTCCTAGAGCTGTACAGAAACCCTCACAACACTACCACTACTGCATATAACATCACCATGATTGTGAACAGGGATGAGCAGTACCTGTTTCTGGTAAGGGCTTTACATATATTTTCTCTTCCTCCTGTACAGCTAGCACTAGCAGGTCATAGAAATCTGAGGAAATGGCTTTAATTGGCCTGTCTTCTTTTTAAGGTCCGTGTGATATCGCCTTACCAAGGGCCACCTTCTGACTACATTGTGGTGAAGATGATACCTGACAACAGGCTTCCTCCTCGGCATCTCCATTCTGTGCTCACTGGAAAGACATTTGCTGTCATTAAATGGGAGTCACCCTACGATTCACCGGACCAGGATATGGTAATAGCTTCATGCACGCGGCTTATGCTCATGGACAACTGGTTGTTCAAGCCATGAAGTGCCTTCAGTGGCAAAATGTGCTCTACAAAATACAAGTTTATTAGCTGACATTAGCTAATGGAGAGCCCTGAACATCAGAGTGGGCCTGATTTTGATCTCACTTGCAATGGTGTAAAATCAGAATTAAGTCCACCAAATTCAGTGCAGTTGCACTATGTGAGTTCAGCTCAAAAGAAAACCCTGCACTTTTAATACAAAAGTTTCAAGACGACCTTGAACATCTGGGACTTTCCATTAAATGTGACTACCTGGCAGAAAACGATATTATATGTTGAATTATCCCACACAGTGCAGACATAATTTTCTTTGTTTCCTCTTATCCTCCAGATACCACATTGGCTGCCTCAGTAAATAGTGTTTTGGGGCATTGGTCCAAGCCCACAGTAGACTTTATTAAATTTGCATTTTGCCACAATTATGACGTACAACCTGGCATCTGTTTATGAAGGGGGAACTTTCACCATTCACTTTGTATGCAACTTTCCTTCCCCTCTGCAGTTATATGCTGTTGCAGTAAAGGATTTAGTAAGAAAAATGGATAAAGTCTACAAAGTGAAAACCCGTAACAGCACAGTGGAATACACCATTAAAAAGCTAGAACCTGGAGGAAAATATCACATAATCATTCAACTCGGAAACATGAGCAAAGAATCCAGCATGAAAATTAACACAGGTAGGGAAAGAGCATTAACATTTAAGTATCCTAGCAAGTCCTTGCATGACTGCCCACTAGAGGGTATCTTACACCTTTCATGGACACACTTAATCTACTGGTTCTCAAGTTTAAAAAGAAAAAGATTCAAGGCACCTGTTATAAAATGCCAGCTCTTAGTTTTCACTTGTTTTTTGACTACAGAAAAATGAGAGAGCAGTTTTTCTGTTACAAAGGACTCAGAGGACACATCCCCACGAGTGGGAACATGCATTTCCCAGGGGACAAATAGCAACGGCACGTATTTGTGCACTGCTGCTTGTCCCCAGGCAACATCTCTGTATGCACACTCTGGCTCCCGGCAAATTCCCTTGGGTGGGGTAGGGGAGGCTGGGACCAGCACCAGGGCTGGCCCCAGCAGCCTGATCTGGAGTCCTGGGGGCTTCCTGGAGCTGCAGTGGCAGCGAACCACATGCGTGGAGGCTGGCCGGCACCTGGAGCGTGGCTCCGCTTTTGAGTGGCGCATGCTGCAGCCACGTGCACCACCCTGCTTTTTCGTGCCACGTTGGTTTTTTTTTGACTGGAATCTCCTGGTGTCAAAAAACCCACTGTGCTGCTGATTAGTAGTGCAACAAATGTGTGCATGTGAGGTTTGTGGTGCCACAGATGGGTTTGCGGCTCCACCTGCGCGCTTGTGGGGATGCGGCCTTGACCATAAGTCGCAACGTTGGTACCTCTGTGGGTTCCTCTGAAATCTCTGGGTTTATCATTTGAATTATATTGGCACACCTAGCAGTGCTAACATTGTATGATACCCTGCAGCTCCTTTGAAAGGATCTTAAGGCATCCCAGTGTATCATGGGACCCTGCCTGACACTTGTGGTTCTGTAGAGATCTTGTTTACTGCAGTTTCTAAATGGAAGGACTATCATCACTGTTAAAAATTAATGCGTCTGCCATTTCCCTCACATTTACAGTTCCTCTGTCTGCACCAGATGCCCTAAAAATTATAACTGAGAATGACCACATTCTGCTTTTTTGGAAGAGTTTAGCCTTAAAAGAAAGTAATTTTAATGAAAGCCGGGTAAGTCACGCACAAAGCTTGTTTGTCTTTTGGTTTGATAAAGAGGACTTGAGAACACAGCACACTGACAGGTGTGTCCCAGTGTGCATGTCTATACACGTGCGGGACGTCTCCCGTGTTTCCCAGTATGCTGTACTCCACAGTAAGAATACAACAAAGCTGTCCTTGGGGACTGTGTTTCCCAGCCTGGTCTTGCTCCTTTGTTTCTAAGAGATAGAGAGGCTAGCTGGAACCACAAGAAACTAAAGTTAATCCCTTCAGTATTAAGAAGAGAGGGAAGACTCAGCTCACCATGCTGATTCCCACCCTAGCAAGCCCAAGCAAGAGAGTCATCCTTAGGGTCTCTCTTATGAACCCTAGATTGCTTGTCGGAGACTGTTTCTGTCCCTTTGTGATCCTTGCCTCCTGTCCATCAGGTATTTTTGCAGGAACACCTGGAATGGAGCAGCCTTTTCCTAGGAGACTTCTCTTCAGCAGTACATTAAGGTGTTCATGCACTCCGTGCCATGTACATGCTCTTCCTTTTGCGGGCCATTAGCTTTACTAAATTGCTGCCAGGTTTGGTCACTAGAGATGTTGATACGTGTGCTCCAGGAAGGGGGAGAAGGTGCATTAATTAAAGTGGCTGAGCGCATCGCTAATTAAAGCGTTCAGAGCATCACGTGTATCAGCATCCCCGCACTGCAAAATGGCGGCAAGGGCACTTTAATTTAGAGCTCCTCAAATGAGCTTTAGTTAAAGCACCCTTACCATCATTTTTCAGTTTGCAGACACTGATACATGTGATGCTGGAATCTGCTGGAGTGCAGTAATTACTACACTCCAGCAGACTCAATTAATCAAGTCTGCTCCAATGCACTGTAATTACGGCACATCGGAGCAGCCTCCCTGCACGTGTATAGGCTCCCTACAGTTGTGAGTCCCAGTCTGTCAGCTTTTGAGAGAAGGATATCTTTCCTTTGGGAAAACATCGGCCTCCTGGGGTACTTAAGTGTATCAGGGGGTTGGGGATAGGATGCAAAGCCTTTCACATGTGGGTCACCATATCTGTTGCAGCTCATAATTGCTATTACTACAGACTAATTGTACTGAGGAATGAATTCATGTTCTCCATCACATTGTTGGTGGGTCTGTGTCACAAAACCAGTCTCATAATCGGACTGTTTTTGACAGTCTCTTGTGATGCTGAGGTCTGAGTGGTTCCTGGAGACTGGAGTCTCCCTTCAACTCCTGACTGTCTTTACAGGTCAGGGTTGTCTGAAGCAAGCTTGTCAAAACCCAACACTGTTCAGCAGAATTAAATTCATTAGCAAGTTTAAGAGTGTCAGAAGTAGCAAACCTTGACCTGCAGTTTGATCTCAGTGGAGGAACAGAATAATTTGCGTGACTTCTTTTTTAAAATCTCAGGGTTATGAGATTCACATGTTTGACAGCGCAATGAATATCACAGCTTATCTGGGGAACACCACAGAGAACTTCTTCAAAATTTCCAACCTGAAGCTTGGCCATAACTATTCATTCACAGTTCAGGCCAGATGTCTTTACAGTGGACAGATGTGTGGGGAGCCTGCTACACTTCTTTATGATGAACTAGAAACTGGTAAGGCACTAGCTTGCTTTTTTCCCCTCCTCTTCTTTAAGCCAAGCAGCAAAAAACAGCTTGTGCTCCATTGCTAAAAGATAAATTTGTTTACTGGAAGCTCAGGTGGGGGAGGAATTCAATCAAATATAATACCGCTAATGAAATCAGTGTTTGCATCCTACCAGTAGTCATCTAAAAGAAATCATCACACAATAGCCAAGACTTGAATGAAGTGGTGATTGTGCATATTTATATTTATTTATTCCACCAGTGGCTCTTTAGGACTATGAATAGGTAGGATTATGTTCACTATAGGTAGTGAACACTGTAAAGCAGCTGTTGCAGTTGGCAGTTTTTTCCTCTCCTTATAGGTGAAGACCACGCAGCATCCCAGATGGGAAAATCCACGGACGTAGCTGCCATTGTGGTCCCAATCTTATTCCTGTTGCTTGTGACCATGGGAATAGGGTTTGTTGTATTATACATGAGACACAGAAGGCTTCAGAACAGTTTCACTGCCTTTGCGAATAGCCACTACAGCTCTCGTCTCGGCTCAGCTATATTCTCATCAGGTGATGATTTAGGTATGTAAAGCAATTGGTTCCCTAAGCCTGAATTTCACTGTAGCTTTGAGGACCTGAAACCATTGAAGGTCATTGTATGTAATGGGACCTGTGTTTGCAAGTGGTAGAAATGACTGCAGTTCCTGATCACTTTTCAGTTGTAATGAGCAGACTTTCCTCCAAATGACGCGCAATTTCCTTTGGCCACAGCAACGTGATCTGAGGCTCATTTCCCAACTATCTTTGGCTCTGTTCTCAGAGCCTGTATCTGCAAGGTGTAAACTAAACAGTATGTGAGCAAACCCTACTGACTGTGCTGCCTTGGCCATGCTCTAGCCCATGCCATCCCATACACAGCAGCAAACAAGAGAACTGTATGCTGCACCAGTACATATCCATATCTTCTTATCTGCCTCTGCAGGCAGGGAAACTTGGGTTCCAATCCTTAAAAAATCAGCCCCTTCATCTGTCTGGGTCAGACAAAGTCAGAACTCCATGCATCTTACTGGGTGCATCTACACATGCAATTCATTTGAAGCAATAAAGTCTGGAGTAGTTTGAGCCGGAGTAAACTATACCTGGGTGCATTGTCTACATGTGCACCTGGGACAGCAGCAATTTGAGCTGGAGCAGAGCAGTTTACACCAGGGTTGGAGGCACATGGGGTCCGCCCAGGACTCCAGGTGGTGGCATCAGGCAGCAGAGGGGCTGTCTGCGGACAAGGGTGCTGAGAGTGCAGAGCTGCATGGCTAGGCGGCAGACAGGAGTCTGGCTCCCTGCTGGCTGGGATGATCATAGCCAATTTACGCTTACGGTCAGTCTCTACAGGTGCATTTAATTGCAGTTAATTACCCCCACCGTAAGATAGTACTGCCAGGGAGAGGACTATCTTACCGAGGCATCAGTTAGTTTACTGGAGCATAACAGTGTCACGCGTATAGACGATGACACTTAAACTGCAGCTAATTAGTCTACTCTACAGTTAAGCGCATGTGTACACACAACCACTGTGTTGGGTTTTAATCTTTTGCTATTATTAACCCTTGGAGGATTTACTGTAAGGATTCAGGCTTATTTTACCATCCTCACCCAAAATTGCTTTTTTTTCCATTCCTGTTCCATAGCTACCTCAGCCATTTCTGTATTTGCAAGACAAATTTATTATTACCTTCTGGGTATGTGGGGTCATTTCCAACTTCTGGAATAACTTGAATTGACATAAAGAGCAGCTGGAACAGGAACATACTTTTCTGTATCGAGTTTGGGGGATCCTTTAAGTTGAAAGCTGCCATGGACTTACCTTGTTTGATTTAAGTCTGTTGACTTGTTTTCCAGTGTTGCTGACCCTCAAAAAATGCTTTTTGTCAATATTGTTACCCTAGTGATTTCTTCTTGCCTAGACTGAAGCAAACTACCATATCAGGTAGTTAGGGGAGAGGGAATCTGCTTGAATACCGAGTCCCTGCTTAGTATGAAAGTAATAATGCCTGTGTTTTCCACTACATTTTTACCATATGCAGGAGGTCAAACTAGGGATGAAGACAATAGTATCAATTTCAAATAATGGGGTCATAAACTGTTACAGTATAGTTATTATGTCTGTACACTCCTTTAGTGTAGCAAAACTGTTGCAACTTTGACCCAGTGGGCACATCTACATGTGCATTAATGTGCTGTGGTTACTGCCCATTAAGTTTAGTACCTGTAATAACAGGTTCTAACTAAATGCGCAGTAACAGGCACTACTGTGCAGTGCACTGGCACACACCTTTTAAGTGACTGTAATGTGCAGTAAACTACTTCTAACGCGCATTAGCGCAATAGCGTGGCTTTCTCTGTGATGCGGTAATGCATGGTAGAATTAGTCTACTGCGCATTTAGCATCTCATGTAAATGTGCCCAGTGTCATTCAGGGTTAGAGTTGTAGCAATTTAACTAACTTGTATCACTGCGAGAACCTGCAGAGATGGATTGTTACAGCCGATGCATGCTCCCAAGTGACAGCTGCCCTTAGCCTCTTAAAGGGGTGAAAAAGTATATTTGCCCACAGCCTGGAGGAGCTAACGTTTCTTTGCAGACATAAGCTCTGTAGAACTACTAGAGCCATATGACAGAGCATTGTGTTTGCTTTCTAGGTGACGAGGATGACGAAGCGCCGATGATAACTGGATTTTCAGACGACGTCCCCATGGTCATTGCGTGAAGCTCATTTCTTGACTGTAAACCAAATGGTGTAAATATTTCATTTGATAAAAATAGTCAATTGTTTATTTTACAAATGCACTTTGAGTTGCAATACGTTATTTTTATATGGGCCAAAAAAAGAAAAATAAAAAAAAACCACTTTGTAGTAATCAACTGTGAACTGCAAAAACCAGGTTAATTTAGTAACAGATTGCTTTGATTTAACATTAATTTAGTCTTACAAGGCTATGCTTGCTGGGCATGCTTTCAAGTCTGTGAGATATTTTCTGTTGATGAAATTGGCTACTCTTTTTATTTTTCTAAGACAATAATAAATTTATTTAAAAAAATTCAGGAGATTATATATAGAGAGAGATAAGTAATATAGTCCCTGAAGGTTTTACTTTTACTTTAAAAATCGTTTGGACTTTGTTTTATATGGAAGTATTTTGTTTTGTTAATTTATTGGGAAATCTGCGTTAGCTCAGATTTTCAGAGTCGTCAGACATTGTACACATTATTGTGTAGAACATGTGCCACTTTATCTTGCAAGGCAGTAGTTTTTCATCATCAGATTCATTGTTGTTGCCATAAAGCAAATAAAACAAATGTTATTTTACTTTTTAATATTTTTCCATTATTAAACAATTTGGGGTCATTATTTTGACATTCGGGCCCCTTTTCAGGATAGCTCTTAAGTACGAAATTAACTTTAAGCATGGATTTAAATCCTAATTACTTTAGCAGGACGTAAGCCAGTGCTTCAGTGCTTTCCTGAACTGGGGAATGCAGATCTATGAAGCAAATGTACCTGATTTTCAGAGATGCTCAGGACCCCCAGCTCCTGCTGACTTTGAAAATCAGGCCACTTTTTAACCCAGACTCAATATGTGCCTAACTATAAACACATACCTAATGATGCACCTGAGTCAAGGTCTTATTTAAGAGATTCAGGGCCACATTGTGCCAATGCTTATGCATGTGAGTGACTTTGCACACACACACACACACACGCATGCACGCGCGCACACACACACACACACAGAGTATGTTGGCAGCCACTGTGCTACTCACATGAGTAAAGTTACTTGTATGAAGAGTTTAGAGATCTGGCACGAAATAGGGATTTAGGTATGCATATGTACGCACCCAGGTTTTCAGTGTTTTTCCCTTACCTCCACACTTGATGTTACTACAGTCTGCAATGTTCTGTAAATCACCAGCATTGTCCTAGATGCTTTGGGGTTACGCGCAATAGTGAAGTTGTTAATTGTACCCTGCATTGTTTTGCCGGATTTTTCTCATTAAATAGTTTTCTAATGCCTGTCAATAACATAACTGGAAAAAAAAATGGCCAGTAATATTTTTAAAACACAAACTCAATGAGACAAAACATATACCCTCCAAGACACTAATGTATTGATGAGTGGCCCAGGAAAAACCTCAGGGTAAATGCAGAGTAAGTGCCGAGAAGTAGATGTTCCGCAGTCGTAAAACGCCTTACGCATCTGAAAATCCAAAATTATTTGCATTTGCAACAGGATTCTTTATTCCTTCCTATTATCTGAAAGGAGCTGTGGCTGTAACTTCAGTTAAGAAGTAACACACACATATATATACACACGCAGAGTACTCACCATCTCGTAGTATGCCTACAGTAGCTGCCAGTTACAAAGCTCACATTTAGCCTCTAGAAATGTATGGTATCGTTGCCTAGCCTTCTTGTGACAGTAGAGCATGAATCTCCCCACCACGTCAAACTACTTGCCACCCCAAGTGAATGCTCATGGGTCACGTCGATACATATTCTGTATATGCAAAACCTAGCCACTGTACGCAGTACAATTCAATGCATTGTCTTGTCATGATGTATTTCATTTGATTAAACCAAAAGTATCTTTGTTGTGTAATTTTAAAATATAATTGCAGTCTTCCTACAGATGGAGTGAGAGCAGAAAGGGCCAACCATATTTTGATAGGCAATGGACCTCTTTAATTTCAAATACAGGAAATATGTAAAATATGTACAAGTTCTGTATGCTTCCATGTGCTAGAGAAATACAAAATGTATATTTTAACTAATCATTATCACTGTCCGTAGCCAATGATAAATTGATTTAATGTTTTTCTAAATCGGTGGCCAAAATTAATTTGGATTCGACTACCGATGCTTTATTTAAGCTTGGGAAGTTGCGGCTTCCTTGTTTACTCGGCTAGAGCGCCAGATGTTGTTCTGAAGTACATTGTGAGTAACACCAGCACAGCATGCTATCATATTGAATCATTCAGGGTTTACATTAGAATATCCCAGATTAGAATTTAGTCTAGCATCACAAATTCCTAGATCCATCAAAAGATTCAAATGTGTTTCTAGGAAAAAAGAAAGAAAACGAGAGAGAAAATATTTATCCCAAGAGTCCGACTACTGTTTCTTTTTAAACAGTTGCTTCTGCCCAGTTAACACTACCTTAAAAAAGGCAGTGTCTCAAAGGGTATGAGTTTCCATTGCACATTCAGCCTGGTCAGATCCTACTTGCCTTATTTGTACTCCCACTTCACAAAACTTATCCTAGTAAGACGAGGAGGATTTCACTCCCATTTTTCACCCGTAATGAAATACCCTAAGGATGAACTCCAGTAACTAACCTCATGGCCATCTGAAATAGCCAACCAAAATTCCTCAGTATGTTTTCAAGCTTTTGACTTGAAAGACCCCGTCCAGTTGGGCAACCCGTAATTGCTGGTCATTCAGAAAGGTTTCGCTGCACTCATTACTGAGCAGCATATGTACCCAACGTAGGTTGTTTCCAGTTTCAAATATGCTGTTGGAAATTAAACATGCTGGTTAGCAGTGTCTGGGTTATATAATGCATGCGAAACTGGGTCTGCAAAATGTCCATGCGTTGCTAATGTGAAATGAAGGGTTTCAGTGGCAGCGAAGCAATGCGTGGACCTTGTGCTAACTCTGCAGGACTGGATTTCACCCTGTGTGAATAAGTATTGCAGTGGATAGACATCCTCAACCCTTAAACATTTTCCCTTACTGCAAAAATGGCCAAGCAGCTTTACAGGGCTAGTGTATTTTTTATAAATAGAAAATTCTAAGCTCCAGGGAAGGGGTGGTGGTGGGGGGAGGTGTGGGCTGGATAGGTGCAGTTTTAGGCAAATTGTATATTTTTATGAACTTTCCAAGCACAGAATCTTGTTAACAGAGATGTGTGGAGGGGGGTTTTGTTGTAAATACGGGAAGCAGCTCTGGATGCCGATTCTTGCTCTGGGTTTAAGAAACGCGACAGGAGTCGGTACCCTGACTTAATGAAGAGGGTGGGATTTCCCTCGCAGTGACAAAACAAAGTGATTGGTTAACTTAGCTCAGAGGGCGCTGGGTTGTAACCTGATTTTGGTGAATTTTTCCAGTTCTTTAATATCAGTCAAACATTTGAATCAGTTTTGTTTCTCGCGGAAGATGTTAGAAGGAGACTGGCACTCTTAAGTCCATTTGAACTAAAGGGAAGTGATGACATTTGAAAGATGTTGCCCGCCACATTTCAGCTCCACACAGTAAAGTCAGTGTGGAGGCACCATTACCGGGACTAGAAGTCCGGACACCAAGTCAAGTCATATTTACTCTTCTTGCCTCTATGGCAGATTAGCACGATTGGGTCTCAGACGAGTCATTTCCAGGCTGACGGTCAGAAGCCATTTCCACATCAGAATTAGCAGAATATTTGGACCTGATGATTGGTAGGAGGCTTGTAGTGAATGAGTTGGTGGGTTCATTTCTTACTGGACAGGTGTGCAAATCATTAAAACCTGTGAACAAGAGAGCACTAATTATTGAGGCTGTTTCTAAACTTATTCAAAGGCCTAAAACCATGGTCAGAAGCTATGGAAACTTGAACTGCTGTTGCAACCTGAGTTAATAATACATCTTTTTCTTTTCCTTCTTCCTCCTTCTCTGCCCTCCCACGAGTGCAGACACAATCATTGCCATCTCTTTACATGACCCTCAAAGTATTTAACAAAATAATGAATTGGTTTGCCAGCACGACAACTATAATCAAGCAGAACCAAAATTATATTGTCCTCTACAAATGTCACATCTCTTTCAAATGGACTTCAGAACAAAAATGGTGCAGTTACCCTTGGATCCAGACACTTCTTCATTTATAGGACCAGCTTCAAGGATTATATAACTTGTGTTCATTCCAGACTTTCAGCAACTGAGAGGCGGCCAGTCTTAAACAATTTTGTTAGGATTATCTTCAACTGTTGATGGATTCCTTAACAAAGTGAAAGTTGGACATCTATCATTTGAATTGCTTTCTGTGGGTTTTTTCCATCGCTGATTTGTGCTACAGATTTTATTTCATTATTGCACAAGGTTGAAGGATTCTTTTTTTGTCTTTCAATGTCAAACTTTTTTTCACAGAATAAAAATAATTGAGTCAAGAAAACAGATGTTTCCAAAAACGAAAAAAAAACACCCCACTCTATATGTGTCTCGAGTTATTCTTCAGAGTGCAATAAAAATGTGAAGCTGTTTCTGAACACTGTTTGATTTTTGTTTTAAAATTGCGAGGGTTGGTTTTATAAATAAGTGCAGAGAAATCAATGATGGACTAAAATGCCCCCTTCTCCGTAGGCCAGAAAGGCCCACTTAAATATTGCCAACTTTCATTATTTTATCATGAGTCTCCCATGAGGTCCCAGGCAGTGGTAAGTGTTTGTTCCCTCCTTGTAACCTCTTTCAGTAGGGAAATGCCTATGCAACGCTTTCTGGAAACTAAATAGCAGGAGTACATGCCCACAATTAAACTGCGTCATAAACAATTAAACTAGTCACAGAAGAGATTATTCCCCTCTATATGGCACTGGTGAGGCCACATCTGGAGTCCTGTGTCCCATTTTGGGCCCCCTACTACAGAAAGGATGTGGACAAATTGGACAGAGTCCAGTGGAAGGCAACAAAAATGGTGCGGGGGCTCAGGGACATGACTTGCACAGTGTCTTCCAGCCTATGTAACTGGAAAGGCAAGATGTGAGCTTAATATGAACAAGCATTTAAAGTGCTGCCATTCATTAGCGATTCGCTTAAGCTTACATTAAGGAACAGCCAGGTTTCCCCTTTACAAACCAAATACATAGTTTTGTTCTTGCCCCATGCCACAACTAGGTCATTGCTTCCAGGGCACTGGAGTGGCCTGCCTGGAGAAAGGCACCTTAGTGTTTTCCACTTAGAGTATACAAGGGTGACCCCAGTGGGAAGAAAAAGTCTTGCTTGAATTCTGATCATTAGGGACAAGAAGTGTCCTCATCCCTCATCTTGGAAATATGTGAACAGCTTGACACAGAGGAGCAGCCCTACCAAGGTTGCCTTATCATTTACTGAATTCAGCAAAGCTGTTTGGGTACATGGAACATGATCAGCAGGGTAAAGCATTGGTCTGGGAGTCTGGAGGCTGGTTTTATTCCCTCGGACCGTCAGCCAGCACATTGGTGGAAGCAGCGGATAGACCTCTCTCAACAGTGGCACCTCTTTTCCTGCTACTGAAACAGTTCAGCTTAATTTTAACCACTAAAACAGCCTTTTCTCCCCCTCCAGTGGTCCTTGCCGGAGTCTTCCTGCTCTCTGCAGGTCTTTTAAAATACCCTGCTTGATGGCCTTTTTTCTAAGGAACTTGAGGCCTCCAGGTAGCACATAATCCCCAGCCTTTGGCCCATCACTTGTATGGCAGCCATAGGCACAGACCCTCAGCTGCCAAATTGTTGAAAGGTTCATCCCATCCAGCAACAACCTGCTTTGCTATTAACTTGGTTTGTGACTGGGCAAGTCACCTCCTGTCTCTCTGTCTCTGGTTCCTCTGTAACCTTTTGTTTCTGCCCTGTCTATTAATATTAAAAGTGCTTTTGGGTATATGCAGCACCTAGCACAATGAGGCCCTAATATCAGTTGAAGCCTCTTGATACCCGGGCGAGACAAACAATGAGTAAGCATGTTTTATGCATTGGCTAGTGCATTGTCAGCTCCTAGCAAATAATAATTCCAGTTTAAATTGAACTCTGCATACCAGTTTGGGGGGTGGGGACAGGAATGCATCATCTAATGAACAGAAATCATTCTTATTAATTCAGAGTGTTTTGGTTTTTTTTAAAAAACAGCATGAATGTGGGGCAGATTCATGGTCCAGGAAAACCTGGTAGCACTCTTGATAGATACAGGTTTCCAATTCCTTCAAGACTGAGTTTTAGTTTTCCAGGTCAAACAGTTAGCTGAAATTCAACAGCTAGACCCCCAGGGCCTTTTCTCTCCCCCAGGCCCTGGCATTTTATTTTTTTGGACACAAAGAGAGGGTCTTACTCTGCATTTAGAACGTGCCTTGTGTCTCATTCCTACCGCAATAATGTATAAAGGTGTGTGGATGCTAGGAACTGATCTGCTAATGCACACGGACTAAAATTACCAGGAATAGACCTTGTTCAGATAACTGGGCTTTTTGGTGTGTTGGCCAAACTGCCCCTCCCCCCTTTAAAAAATAAAATAAAAATATAGATAGATATCTAGGTATCTATATCTATCTCTGTATAGATATGATTTATGACATAGTTAACCAGAAACCTGTTCTTTTTGATATATATATATAGATATATCTATCTATAGATATAGATACATTTATCAAAAAAGAATTGGTTTCTGGTTAAACATGTCATTCCCTATTCAGAGCCGTTTTGGTTTGGTTTTGGTTCATTTTATGTTTGAAAATGAAATTGAGGTAAATTGGCCATCTTGGAAGCAGAATAAACACGGCAGGTGGACATCCCAGGGCAGGTACGGTGTGTGTACTGGCCATGCAAGTATCCTTCTCAGGCTTTGCATCCTCATTGCAACACGGACTACTTCTTGACTTCGGACTACTTCCTAACGTGGACCACACATAGCAGTGTGGGTGTTCCCTGCATCTGACCACTGTGTGGCAAAGAGGGGAGAGATTTCTGTTGGACTTGGTAGGGCTCGGTGATTCTGCACCGGCCACATCCCATTGTGAGTCGGAGCAGCCCCAGGACACTATTTACCTAGGATGC